CAAACTGAAGCTGTCAACAGCCTCAATCTCTTCATCGTCTATCATGACACTGCCAACTGGCCCATTGGTGAGAATCTTTATTTTACTGATGTTAATCTTCAATCCATATTGAAAGCTGCAGTCCTTGACCTTCTGCAGCAGATGCCTCAGGTCCTCCTCAGTTTCTGCAAGCAGGGTTGTATCATCTGCATAATGCAGGTTGTTGATGAGTCTTCCTCCAATCCTGATGCCACATCCCTCCTCCCTGAGTCCAGCCCTCTGGATGATCACTGACAAATGCTATTTTGAAGGGAAGGAGTTCTAGTGGCCTAGTAAGGAGTTGCACTACCAACCCAAGGGAACATGGTTCTCCTCCACCAGCTGCTCTGGGGCAGGATTAGGAATCTCCTCCCATACCGTTTTCAGCCTCTGAAAACCCACTGGAGGGTCAGCTATGAGTCAGTTCCAACTCCACAGTATACAACAACAACATTATGAAATTCCGAAGTTAGTGAATAAATGACAGCCTGTAAGCAGATGCTGGTCTTATCTTCTGAGAACCTGGCTTTAAAAATGCTTTCTTATCACAAGACGGCAGCCCTGGACGCCCTCACTAGGCCATGCCAGGACATTTGAAGGGCAGCTGCCTGGCCAGCTGACTGGACAAAATCCTTAATTTGTCCCGATCCCCAAGAAAGGCAATCCAACAGAATGTGGAAATTATCAAACAGTATCATTAAGATCACATGCAAGCAAAATATTGCTGGAGATATAAACAAACAGCTAGAACAGCACATAGATTCTAGGGAACTTCCAGACATTCAAGCAGGGTTTAGAAGAGGCCACAGCACAAAGGATATTACTGCTGATGTCAGATGGATCCCGACTGAAAGCAGAGAGCACCTGAAGAACGTGCAGTCATGCTTTATTGACTCTGCAAAGGCACTTGACTGAGTGGATCGTATCAAAGTGTGGCTAACATTGAGAAGAGTGGGAATCCTGGAAGACTTACATGTACTTCTTCAGAACCTATACCTACATCAAGAAGCTGTTGTCTGAACAGAGCAAGGGAACCCTGCATGGTTTAAAATCAGGAAGGATGTGTGTCAGGTTTGTAGCCTTTCTTTATAATCATTCAGTCTGTTTGCTGAACAAATAATTCATGAAAACAAACTCTATGAAGAGGAACGTGGCATCAGAATTTGAGGAAGATTCATCAACAACCTGCATTATGCAAATGACACAACTTTGCTTGCTGTTAGTGAGGAGAAAATGTAATGCTGCAAAAGATTGAGGGCTACAGCCTCAGTATGGATTACATCTCAGCATCGAGAAAACAAAGTTCTCACTACAGGACCCAAGAGTCAGCATTACAGTAGATGGAGAAGGATTGGCGCTGTCAATGAGTTCATCTGCCTTGGACCAACAGTCAACAGACTTGGTAACGGCAGTCAGGAAGTCAGGAGACATTGGGCGAGTCTGCTGTCAGGGACCTCTTCAAAATACTGAAGAACAATGATGTCAGTTTGAAGACTAAGGTGTGCTTGATTCAGGCCAGTGGTCTTTGCAATCACCTGCAATGCCTCAGAGAGCTGAACAGTGAATGAGGATGAGAGAATTGATGCATTGAACTGTGACGCTAGAGAAGAGTGCTGAATATCCCATGACTGCAAAAAGACAGATACATCTTGGGAAAAGTGCCGCCAGCATGCTCCCCGGACGCAAGAATGGAGAAGTTTCATCTTACAGACTGTGGGCATGTTGCTAGGAGACGCTGTTCCTTAGAGAGGGACAGCATGCTTAGAAAGGTGACAGGTCAGCAAAGAAGAGGAAGCCCCTCAGCCAAGCACATTGACACAGTGACAGAAGCAATGGGCTGTAGTGAGTCACAGATTGTGAGGACGGCGCAGGATAGGACAAGGTTCAGGGCTGTTGTTTATAGGGTCATATTCAACTCAACGGCACCTAACAATAGCAACGACAACAAGAAAAACAAGGAATAGTCAACCCAGTCAATCCAAATGACTCCCATGTGCGTCAGAGCAGAACTCGCCTCATGGGGGTTTCAAGGCTGGCTTTTCAGAAGGAGATTGCCAGTTCTTTCTTCCACACTACCTGGTTGGCAGGGGAGCACAGTGGCTGTTTGCTCCTGGAGACTTCTGGAACATATAGGGTGGGGAAGCTTCACTCTCTAGGTAGGGTTGGAAAGCAGAGAATGCCCTCCAGGTGGGAAGGGATAGAATGGAACCTAATTATGATTACCAGGCTAGAAAATGACACCTCAGTCCAGCTGTTACTCAATAGATGTTTGTCTCATCATAACTAAATTTGACTTGAAAATGAGCAATGTGAAGACTTGGATTTCACTCTGTAGAAGTTAGAAGAATGGCCATGTACTCCATTTACACACCAAAATATGTCTTCGTTTTCTTGTTTTGAACAGAAATTGTTTAAAAATTTCTATCACACTTTCCTCCACCTTCTCAAATATATTAGATAGATAGATAGATAGATAGATAGATAGATAGATAGATAGATAGATAAAGAAAGATAGAAATAGAAATATATTTGCTGCTTTGTACCATAGCTGACGCTCCGGCGAGTTTTCAGAGACAATAAGCACACAGGAGGAGATTGCCCGTACTTCACCCACGGTGCAGCTGGTGGATTTGAACCATAAGCCTTTGCTGTGGCAGAGCAGCTCTTTACCACTAAGCCACCAGAGCTCCCTAGATATATAGTTAGATTTGCAAAAATAAAACTCAACCCATTGCAGTAAAGCTGGACCTGATTGGCAGCTGACCCTCCAGCAGATTTTCAGTCTGTAAATCGGATCACACTGCAGGTTGCCATCTTTCTCCTGGGGAGGGGCTGCTGGACTTGAACCTCCAGCCGGCCGCCACCTTTGGCTTTGAGGCACACGTCCGTGCCGACCACGCCCCCAGAGCTTCCCTGCAGGAACGCAGACGTCTGCAGCTGCATGTGCGTGTCCCCCACGATGCCCACGAGCATGGGGGAGGTTGAGGGCTGGAGTCCACAGGGCTGAGGTGCAGTCTCTGGGCCTTGGGTTCACTGTGAGTGGGTTACCGGGCGGCCACACACACACACACACACACACACTCACACACACACGCCCATGGTTGTTGTGTGGTGCTGTCCAACCGATCAGGGCTCACTGAGACCTGGGTGAACGTGAGTGAGACAAGGACGCAGACTGAAGGGAAGCCTGAAGGCGTGGCTGTGACTGAGGGACCCTGAGGGGCAGTTAGCTCTGTGTCTCGGCTCCGGCCGGTGGGTTAGACACTCGGAATGTGGTCTCTGCCAGCCTGGGGATCAGTCCTGGGGACCGGCGCTGGCTGGGACAGTCCTGGCTCACCACAGCTGGCCACCGGGCTTGAGTCCTCACAGAGATGCCTGTCTGGCTATGTGGAAGGAGTGGGAAGCAGTTTTTAAATTTCCATGAACTGGTACTTTGGCCTTTTAAGTGGAAGATGCGTCTGAAGGATGGTCTGGTGTCTGACTCCCAGCTTTCTGTTCAAATTGAAGGCAGCCAGAGGTCGCTCTCCTAGAAATTCTCTCGGTGCAGTTGCCTCGGAAGTTAAGCTGAATTGTTAATTGTAAGGCTGATGGTTTGAACCCACATCGCCTCATGAGAAAAGTAAAGCCGTCTCTTCCCGTGAGGATTTCACTGCCATTGAGTTGGAGCTGGCTGGTTGCTGATGCGATATTCCCTCTGCAACTGCACGGAAGGCAATGCCCTTCATTCTCCATTGGCGCAGCTGGTGGATTTGAACTGCCTGCCTTCGGCTTGGCAGCGCAGCTCCTTACCCGCTAGGTCACCAGCGCTCCCTCCAGCACCAGAAGCCTGATGACGCAGCTCTGCCTTGTTCTGTGGGTGGATTGTGTCAAAAGCCCGCCTGCCAGCCACGCTCCTCCTCTTTGTTAAGACACGCAGACCCCTGAGACTCGCCACAATGGGGCTGGTTCCACGGTCACACGCGCTGCTGTCATCGGAGGTTCATCTGTGTGAACCCAGTGTAGTCCTGGGGGCACAGCGGCTTAGTGCTTACCCACTAACCCAGAACCCCGCCCCTGGCTCCCCAGGAGACGGCAAAGCGGGGGCCTGCCCTCAAGCCCTGTCGGACAGTGCTTCCTGTCCTGCGCAGTCCCTGCGGGTCACTGTCAGTTCAGTGTAACTGGCTGGTTTGGGGTTTGCATCCATTTTCCTAGACCATAAGAGAAAGAAATGCAGAAAGTCTTCCTTATTGTGGGATTTGTTAGCTCTTGTCCACTTGCCGTACAGTGGTGACTTGTGGTTGCTGTGAAGCTGAACACTGTGACACTGATGTGTCAAATGTGATAATGGTCACCTATGGTGGACAGTGTTTGGTGGAGCTCCCTCGTTAAAACAAGCTTGGAAGCTGGAGTGGCATCCACTTCCGTAACAGCGTGTCTCTGGAAACCTCTATGAACCTGGAGAGAGGATGAAAGTCACACAAGTGTGCAGGACTTTCATTAATAGGGTCGCTATGAGTCACCTATAATTTGACGGCACTTAACAACATAACAACATAAGTACTAGATTGTGGGTCATACGTGATGTCGCCCAACAACAACGTAATGGACTAGACAAGTCATTACCCTGAGGCAGAGTGCTCGCGAAAGCCTGTTCTGAATGTGTTGTCCGTGACGGAGCATGAACATAATCTAATCAAAACAGGCGCCGCCGTTTCTCCAGATGACTAGTTATAATAGGAAGTTACCTTTCTAGACAAACCAGTCGTCCCCCTGAGCCCCAAACCCGAAACAAAGCCTGTTGCTCTTGGGTCTGTTCCCACCACAGCGGCCCGTGGGCTTCCCAAGGCCATCATCTTTGCAGGGGCCTGCTGCCTCGTTTCACTCCCAGAGAGCAGCTGGAGGTTTTGAACCCCTGACCTGTGGGTTGGCAGCCCAGCACTCAGTGCCCCCTGACTCCTGTTTGGTTACCCGCGGCCGGTGACCATGCCCATCCTGTTTTGCAGCTGCTCCTGTTGGCAACGGTTACATCAAGCCTCCAGTTCCACCTGTGTCTGGTGCCCAGAGGGAGAAGGGGCCGCCCGCCATGCTGCCCCTCAGCGTGGACCCCGACAGCAAGCCCGGCGAGTACGTCCTCAAGAGCCTGTTCGTCAACTTCACTGCCCAGGCCGAGCGCAAGGTTCGCATCATCATGGCGGAGCCCCTGGTAAGTGGGCAGCACCCCTCAGAACCAGCACAGGCCACCCCAGCCAGCAGGCCAAGCCAGGAGGGGCCCTGCTCTTCTTCATCCCCAAGACTTGTGGGTCCCTTAAGACCGTTTCTGGGAAATAGTGAGGGATCTCTTAAAAATTTACAAAGCTACAGACATATGACTTGAGGCAGTCACACCAAGCCCCCTCTTCCCAAACCAGTGCTGACAGGTCAACCCCTCTGTGCTGCATCAGGAGGAGGGTCAGACCTCGGACCAGGCTTTCAGAGAACTACTACCACCCAGTCAGTTTCACCTAGGGGTAACCCCACGTGCTAGAGAAGATAGAACTGCTCCGTAGTGTAGACTTGGGGGGGAGGAGAGAGGAAGGGAGGGAGGGGAGGGAGAATGAGAAGGAGAGGGAGAGGGAGAGAGATTGTACACAGCCTGAGTTACCCCCTTTCAGCGTTTTCCACACATATAATTCCCTGGCAGTGACAGCCTTATTCAGGTGGTGCCACCACCCTCAGTGTCCCTGAGGCTCTCAACCAGCCCTTCCAGTTACCTTTGTCGATTTGCTCTCACTGGGAAATGTCGAGGGTCAGTAAAGAGAGGAAGACCCTCGACGAGACGCAGGGACACAGTGGTGACCGCCACAGGGGGCCTGAGCCGGACAGAGCCCGTGAGGGTGGTGCGGGACAGGGAGGGTTCCAACCTGCTGTCCCCGGGGTCACTGTGAGGTGTAGTCAACTTGATGGCACCACAACAACAGGTACATTTTTTTTTTTAAAGTACAATGCTTAAAGTCGGCATAATTTGCTAGTTAAGGTAAATTTTTTGGGAGGAGGTGTTGTTCAAAGATTTCAGGAGGGATTTTGGTTTTGAGTCAGCTTTTTACACATTATCTCATGGCAATAGTTTGTTGAGGTTCTTTTAAATACTAGTTTATTTACAAAATTCAAATACATTGATTTCGAGAACAGATTCTTCTATTTCCCTCACCCCCCCAACTATAAAATAGTACAACCCCATGATTAATCCTCCCTCCCCAACACATCCTCGTGCCTCTGTTTCGACCCTCCCCCATCTCCTTGGATCCTTATACTCATTCTACAATAATGGTTTTATATAATATTTGTCCTTGTGTGACTGAGTTAGTTCACTCGGCATAATGCTCTCCAGTCCCTCCCACGGCAGGTCATCATTTACAGAATCATTGCGCCTGCGTGCTGCGTAGTATTCCATTGTGCACCATGGCAGCAGTTTGGGTGATTCCTTTGGCATGGATGGTTCCATAAAGTCTGGTTCTGTTGGAATCTGGAATTCTGCCCCGGTTCGTGTCATCTTCACGGCAGCAGACCAGCAGGTCTTTCTTGCCCAGTACCGATGTAAGGAAGCTCTGAAAGCCTCAGTGGTGCAGTTAATAGTCACAAGCTCTGTGTGCCTCACAGGGCCCTGGACCTGGGGGTCGGGGGACACTTGGAGAGCACTGGCTCAGTGAGGGCTCCTGTCACTCGTTCCCCACAGAACCTGGCGATCAGGGACCCCTGTGATTGTGTCCTGGGGAACTTCCTCAGCGAATGCGGGCTCAGCAGGAGGGACAGATGCTTTGAAAACCAAGCCTGACTCTTTGACCACGTCCTCCCTAATAGGCACCTGGAGGGCTATGTGTTCTGCTGCTCACTGAAAGGTGAACTGTTCCAGCCCACCAGCTGCTTGTTGGGGACAGATGAGGCAGTGTGCTCCTGTAAAGGCCCCAGCCCTGCACACCCTGTGGGCCAGTTCTGCACTGTCCACAGGGTCCCTGTGAGTCCACATCCGCAGACAGGCCTGGTCTGTTTCTGTCGTATTTGCCCAGTGGTAGGTAGCCTAAGTGCTTGTACTTAAAAATTAATGAAGTGAAATAGTTTGAGCTTCAGGCTTATCTCCTTATTCAACATGGAATTTTTCTGAGTGGCATAGTTTGTCCTGTGAGTAAACATTATGTCTGAAAAATTTATTTGTGGCACAGGCATTCTTTTCTTGTTAAATTTTACATGGTTGTTGTGTTGTTATGTGGCACTGAGTCACATGTGACTCACAACGACCATATGTACTACAGCTCTGAACCCTGTTCTACCCTGAGCCAACCTGATTGTCTCTGACACACCTACCGCCATTATCCCAGTCACAGAGTCAATCCATCTCATCGAGGGTCTTCCTCTCCTGCACTGTCCCTCCACTTTTCCAAACATGATGTCCCTCTCCAAGCACTGGTCCCCCCTTGCAACATGCCCAAAGTATGTCAGATGAAGCTTCAGAATCCTTGCCTCCAAGGAGCAGCCTGGTTTCACCCTCTCCAGGACAAACTTGTTTGTTCTCCTGGCAGTCTGTGATCTATTCAATACTCTCCTCCAGCACCACAGCCCAAAGGTCCTTGACCTTCTGCAGCAAATGCCCTGGGCCCTCCTCAGCTTCAGCAAGCAAGGTTGTGCCATCTGCATAACGCAGATTGTTGATGAGTCTTCCTCCAATCCTGATGCCACACTTCTCCTCATAGAGCCCAGACTTCTGGATGGTCTGTTCTGTGTATAAATTGAAAACATATGGAGAAAGGATGCATCTCTGGCGTACAACTGTCCTAATTTTGAACCAGGCAGTGTTCCCTTGCTCTATTTTGATGATTGCCTCCTGGTCCAAATATAGGTTTCACATAAGCATAAAATTGAATAATAGAAGTTCTACTTCTTTTTTTTAATTCTTTTTTATTTTATTATTTTTGTGTGAGTGTACCGTCAAATCAGATCTGACTGGTACAGGAAGAGATTGTCCCTCCTTCCCCGGCAGAGCATCTGGTGGATTTGAACCGTGCGCCTCTGGGATTGTAGTTGCAGCTCCTTACCACTAGGCCACCAGAGCTCCCCTAGAAGTTCTACTTCTAAACTAATGAATGAGGCAAAACTTAACTTCTAGATAAATGAGTTATGTACAGTAGATGAATAGCTGTATTAGGTCAGAAATGTTTAATGTAATTATACCATTTCTGCACATTACATGTGTGTGTCCACATGCATTCTTTACATGGCCCACTGTTTGAGAACAATATGGCAGCTTTTCTGATACAAAAAGTGTAACAGATCATCGTTGATTTCGGTGTGGCTGTTAAGTGCTGTTGAGTTGGAACCGACTGACTCATAGCTGATCCGTCGGTGAGTTTTCAGAAGCTGTGAATTGCACAGGAGACTGCCCGTCTTTGTCCTGCGGAGCGGCCAGGGGATTTGAACCACATGCCTTTAGGCTGACAGCACAACCCCTTGCCACTAGACCACCAGAGCTCCTTATAAACTTATATGCATGCCAGAGAGAGCTCTTTTGGCCTAGTGGACAGAAAGTGATGCTATCAAGCCAAGGGTGGGTAATTTTAATCTGCGCCTCTCAGGCCTGGTTTTAATTGTTTTTGGTCAAACATTCTTCTAGGTGGTATAGCACTGGTGTGTCCACTTGCTCTACAGAGGTAACTCGTGGTTGCTGTGATGCTGAACACTATGACACTGATGTGTCAAATGTGATAATGGTTACCCATGGTGGACAGTGTTTGGTGGAGCTCCCCGATTAAAACAAGCTTGGGAGCAGGAGTGGCATCCACTTCCATAATAGCTTGCCTCCAGAAACCCTATGAACCTGGAGAAACGATGAAAATGATACAAGTGTTCAGGTCTTTCATTCATAGGGTCTCTATGAGCCGTCTACGACTCGACAGCACTTAACAACAACAACAACATATTATATGTAATATTAGTAAAACATTTTAAGGTGTCCTCGTAGCTTAGTGAGTAACCAGGCCCTGTGCTACCTGAACTACCAGGCAGGTCAATCTCCCCGACTCTCTGTGGATAAAGATTTAGTCGTAGAAATCCAGCCGAGGGTCTCCACGAGGTGGATCTGTTCCACAGGAGTGCCTTGGGGGTTTTTTTTCTGCTTTTTTTGAAAAAAAAATACATTTTCTTATTTTCCCTAAAGATATGTCTTGCAACTTTTTTACATAAAGCAATAAAAGATCGATATCTGGCACTATTGTAAATTCTACCTTTTCTTAAACTATGTTTTTATTCACTTACTGATGGTGACTTGGCCTGTGAATTTCAATACACTAATATTACAGTCATTTATTAAATTCCATTTAATCAGATGATTTGAGCACAGATAATTTGGGTTTTCCATAGATATTCTTACCATGTCATCTACAATAACTTGCAAATAATCATTAGCTTTTATCGCTTTTTCCTCTTATATCTCTAGTGGCTTATCCTTTGTCATTGGTTTGCACACAACAGTTCATATACGTTGTGTCTCGTTTACACACGTTGTACTTTATATACTCTTTCACTCACACTATTTCATACCGTCACTTATACCCTTATTAATTACTACTGCGCTCTGCCTGTTATTACCCCATCATTTCAAGCGCCCTGGGCATCTTTCTGTTCCTTCACACACACCCCTGTTTGCCTGCAAGCCGCTAGTGCTTTCCCTTCCCACTTCCTGTCACTTCCTTGCTCCCCTCACCTTTTGGACCTTTATACACATCTTACCAGCTATCATTCCATTCTTACAATAATGGTCTTATGAAACCAAGTTAGAATACTCAGAATAAATGCTCTCTAGACTCTCCCATGTTAAATGAGTATTTTATGAAATCATTGTCCTTTACTACGGTTTGGTATTCCATTGCGTAAATGTACTTCAAGTTCTCCATCCAGTCGTTTGTTGATGAGCATTTTCTTGCTATTGTGAATAACACTGCTGTGAGGACAGGTGTGAAACACAAACCCCCGTTTGGGCCTCACTTCTGTTTTCCCAGCATGAATTCCTAACAGTGGAAGAGTGGGCCATTTGGGATTTCTATGCTTACCGTTCTCAGAAAGTTCCAACTTCCTCCAGAGCAGTCGCACCATTTTACAGGAGTAAGGAACGCTCCGTGAATGGTGTGTCATCCTTGTGAGGGGTCTAGTTTTAGTAAATGTGCTGTGGACTGGACC